TATATTTATTTATTTATTGCAAATCTAGTTTATCACTTATCCATTCCTCTAGCTGCCTATCCTACACAGGTGCCTAAGGAGACATGAACAGAAATGTGTGCTAGATTGTTAAAACAGGGAAACAATCTATTTTGTTTGAGAGATACTGGAATCTAGATAGGCAAAAAAAATAATAATAATAGCATTTATTTGTTGCTAGTGAGGGTACGGGTGTATACTGTATTACGTTCTGTGCGAAGTGCTCTGTTATGAGAAGCACCCCTCCCTACCTGCAGAATGAATGGTATTCTGCTTCTAGTAACAGGCACCGGAAAGCTGGCAGGATTGCAGGAAGCATCGGGCTCAAATCTAAGTAAAAATTAGAACCCGAAAAGGTAAATGAAGAGCTGGAGCCAAGTTGCCTTTGAGAGTATTGGCCACAAATCTGAGGAATTTGAGCTAAGAATTCACAACCCTTTTAGGGGAAGTTCTGGGAAACCCAGATGTCTACTTGAAGGCTGTCCTAGAATACAGACCTGCAGGGCTCCTTTCTTCCAGGCACTCTAGAATTTGGTAAAATGCGCCTGCATTCCTTCCATGTCAAGGACTCAAGGTACTCAAGGACAATCCCAATGCCATTTGGAACACTCACATCCTGGGCACCTAGGAAATCTGACTTTAAATCACAGTAGAGTTATAAAGGAGACATTTGATATTCTTAGAGTTGATACGCACAGCCATGGAGCAGCTCAACACTTTGGTTCAAAGGAGAAAAAATAAACTCGGAGACTGAATCTCACTGAAACGCCACCGCCCTCTCTCTGTTAAGATGGGAGGAAGGAAATCTTGTGAGACATCTGTTTCTCAAGGATTAGATTCAGTGCTAATAGAAGAACACTGGGCTTTTATCTCTGAAAAATTTACCAATATGAAAAAGTAAATCAAAATTGAAAAATCTCCACCCAATGTTTTGAGTCCTCTGAGGCAGGAAAAATGATATTAAAGCAGAAACTTCCTTTAATGTGTCCCGTGAGCAATACAATTATAACACTAAAGGCCTAAATTAGGAGCCTGTATCTTGCTCAGTGGAGTTCAGAAGAGTCCTTGCTTCAAAACAGCCTTGTTAGCATATAAGAGTCTTAAATTAAGACCTCTGAAGAGACAGTATTAAGAGCCACAGTGAATCCCAGGTGATTGGAAAAAAAAAAAAAAGTCAGCCTACAAAAAACCCAAGCATAATGGGAAGGTTAAAGACCCTGACAACCTAGATTGCAATTCATGAGCTTCTGAATGTGAAGGCAAATCAAGTTCAGAAGAAATAGAAAAATTTTTTTTAAAAAGGAAGGAATAGATTTTAAGTTCTTAACAAGACTAAAACATACATTTAAAAACCTGAAGCCGGTTGTGTTGGCGCACTCCTGTAATCCCAGCACTCAGGAGGCTGAGGCAGGAGGATCGCCACAAGTTCAAGGCCAGCCAGTGCTACACAGTGAGTTTAAGGCAGCCTGAAATACATAGTGAAACGCCATCTTTAAAAAAAGGGATTGCAAGTTCAAGCCCAGCCTGGACAACTTATAGATAAATAAATAAACAAGTAAATAAATAAATAAAGGCTGGAGTTATAGCTCAATGTGAAGCCCTGGGTTCAGGTCCCAGTAATGGGGGAAAAAAAAAGAAAAGAAAGAAAAAAGAAAAACATCTGAGAGGGTTAATGCCAAACTAGATCGTGAAACTCCTTTTTGGGGGGTGCAGGGTCTTGCTAAGTCCCTGAATGTCTCAGGTTGGCGTCACACTTGTGTTCCTTCTGCCTCAGCCTCCTGGAGTTCTGGAATTGCATGCACCGCTATGCCCTACCTGCCAAGTTCCCCAGTGTCAGCTTAGTATGTTGTCCACGTGGCTACTGGACATCAAGAACATGTGTCCCATGATAAGACTCAATGACTTCAGATAATATGAAAAGTATCATACACAGACTCTTAAGAATTGGTAGTTTATTTGCTTATAAAAATTGGCACAACATATCAATAATAAATATTTCCCTTGGGCCAGGGATTTAGCTCAGTGGTTCTGTCACTGCCTTGTAAGCCCAAGGTCCAGAGTTCGACCCCCATTACCCCCCCCAAATTCCCTCAACTAAAGTTCTGTAACTTATTAATATAGATGCCCAAATGTCTATTTTTATCCTAAACAATTACCAAATACAGAGGTTTCCTAGTGGTCCTCTTCCCATCTCCACTGGCCTAGCCTCTTCTTTATCCCATCTTTACACAAACACAAACATTATCATGTTTAAAATCTTCCTGTGATCTCAGCCCTTCGGAGGCTGAGGCAGGAGCATCTCAAGTTTGAGGCCAGCTTTGGCTACAGAGTGAGTTCAAGAGCACTGTGGACTACATATTGAGACAAAAAACAAAAAAATCTTCAAAAATTCTCTGGAGTAATAATATATATCAAAGTGGCAGTTTGCAGTAAGTAACATATCAATTTTTTTTTTAGAAAGGGTCTTGCTATATAGCTCAGGCTTAAGGTGAACTCTTGACATAGCCCAGACTGGCCTCGAACTCCTGGTGATCCTCCTGCCTCAGCCTCCTGAGTGTTGAGATCACAAGCAAGCACCACTATGCCTGGCCTAAAATTTTAATTTGAAAAGACCAAAAATTCCGGCCAAGTTTGAAGCCCTTAAATACAGTGATCGATGAAGAGATGGCAATTAATTTGGGCTACCAGTTTTTAAAGGTGACTGTTGGTGCGGGGGAAGGATGGCTGTTTCCTCCTGCCTGATCCAAGAGAGCACTGGGCTCCACTCAGCTGCTGCCAGGGGATACCCACTGGATGGCTTGGTTTCTTACCAGTAGAGTCCAGTCTGTTAATACCATAAACTGCTCGGCTGTGAAACATCCAGAAGTGTCCATTGTTGCTGGAAAGAAGGCAGGAACTACAGGGAACGATCACGTGGTAACCTACAATGTTTCCACTGAAAAAGAAAGTAAATGCCATTAGATAGGAGGAGTACCTGGCCCCAGGGAGGCATTTTGATGTGCTAATGTAAACAGGCCCCAGGTGCTCAGGTCTTTGGGCTGGCAGGTCTCTCTGCACAGGGGCATGGGAGAGTCTGTAAGTTAGGCACAATGATACCAACACCCTGTCATATGTCTTTGCTACTTTTGTTTTATGTATTCCCTCCTCCGAAGCTAGCTTCTGGATGGGATTTGTTTTGCGCAGAGCAAATATAAGGTTGTGGTTCGTCCTGTGAGGTGCCCCAAATTGATGTGCTGTTCAGACACAATGCATGAAGTAAGTTCAGATCTGCGGGTAAAGGCTTTTGCCACCCCAAGACTGCCGCAAGTTGGGCTCGTCCGTGTTCTTGTTCCATGCCAACACCTGAAAACGGCTTCAACAGATGGAGGAGTAGGAAGGCAGCAGGAGTCCCTGTAAGCGAAACACAAGCTGGCTGCTCTAAATTTAGTTTCAGTGTTTTTGAAGGAATCCAGAACGAAAGCAAATCCTCAGGCTCTGGAGAAAGATGAAAAAGTTTTCACTGTCTTCCTCTTCCTACCCACTGAATACAGCCACCTCAGTCTTCCACAACTTTTTCCTAGCTAGCCACGTAGTAAGTAGAACATACGGGATGCTTTATTTAGTACTCTCTTTTTAAAGATGACATCCCGGGGCTGGGGATTTGGTTCAGTGGTTTCAGCGCCTGCCTAGCAAGTGCAAGGTCCCAAGTTTGATCCCAGTACAAAAAAGAAAAGAAAAGAAAAAAAAAAAAAAAGAATAAATGGTATCATGAACTATGTATAGTTTGAGTTGTAAAAATTCTTACAGTTGGGCTGGGAATGTAGCTCAGTGGCACCTCATTTACCTTGCAATTTGATCCCTGGTACAACAACAACAACAAAAATCTTACAGTTGAGGTCGGTCTCCCTGTGAAATGTGGGAAGCTGTTACTTGTGGGAGACCCTATAAAAGAATACTATAAAAGGTACAAGTCGCCCCCCCCCCAAATATGTCTTCCAATCATAAGCTGCTTCAAAGGCAAACCAATGAAAACCAAAAGCAGTTTTGGAGGACAGGCAGCTGTTTGTGAGACTCTGTTGCAAGAATAAATTGTACAGCTTTCATTGACACCTATTTTCATTCATTTATCCATCCAGTCACTCGGCTAAAGTTTACTGAGCATCTGCTTCATGGCAAGCACTGCTCTGGGTGCTAGGACCAGCTGCAGACAAAACTAAGTGCTAGTTCTCAGATCACTTTGCCCCCTTGTTAAAAGTCCCTCAGTGGTTTCCCATGAGCCAAAGGTGAAAATAAAAAACTTCTCCACACCATGGTCTAGAACGGTGATGGCGAACCTTTGAGCGAAGCATGCCCAAAGTGCAACCCAAACCCACTCATTGATCTCAGAGCACCAGCTCTGCAATTCAACTGAATCCTGAGGTTTTAGTTTAGCAAACACAACTCACACATCAACATCTTTTGCTCAAAAGGAAATCAAATGTGTGTGCTGTATCTTTGCCACCACTGGTCTGGATTTTCTGTGCCTAGAACAACAGCCACCTGTAGCTATTGGCTACTGAGTGCTTGAAACGAGGTTGGACTGAACAGAGATATCCTGCAAGTGTGAAATGTAAGCCAGATTTTAAAGAGCAATGGGGGAAAAAGAATGTAAAAACCAGGAGGCTGAGGCAGGATTGCAAATTCAAGCCTAGTCTGGGCAACTTAGTATCTTAGAAAGATCCTGTCTCAAAGCAAAAAATTAAAAAGGGCTGGGAGTGCCATTCAGGGTGAAGGCCCTGGATTCATGCAATACCACTTCTGCCAAAATAGAAAAAGATATTGTTCCTTTAATTATTTGCATTTCTTTCAGGTCAAAAATGATATCTTGGACATATTGTGTTAAATCGATATAACTATGTTAAACAAAATGTATAGCTGGCTAATACTAATTATACTTGCTTTTTTAACTTTTAAAATATTAGTAGAAAAATTTAAATTGGCCTGAGTATTTCTATTGGACAACATTGCTCCAGATTATCCAGGGTCTGACTTTTTTTCCTTGCAGAAAGGCTCTCACAGTATAGGCTAGGCGAGCTTCCATTTGTGATCCTCATGCCTCAGCCTCCTGAGTGTTGGGATTACAGGCTTGTACCCCCAAGCCCAGCTCTGAGTACATCTTAACCTATTCATATTAGTCCCTCCATGTTCAACATCTTTTTTATTCCCTAAATATGTGAAGCCTTTGTGGGAGGCGGTGCTGGGGAATGAACCCCGATCCTGGCGCTGAGCTACTTCCCCAGCCTTCTGTATATTCTGAGACAGGGTCTTGCTAAGTCTCCAGGTTGCCCAGGCTGGGCTTGAACTTGCCTCAGCCTCCCAGGACACTGAGATCACAGGTGTGTGTGCCATCACATCCCGCATTTAAATTTCGTTTTTCATGAGTTCTTTGTGGTTGCAGTTCCTCTGCCTAGAACATTATTCTTTGGGCTTCTTTTCACCCAGGACTCAACTCCAATGTAGTAGCTTCACAGCCTCCCTGACTATGGTATCTAAAAAGACCCTTACCAGTTCTACTATCCTCTGTCATTTATTATTTTTCCTTTGGAGTTCTTCCCACTATATTAAATATCTTAAATATCCTACCGACCGCGACTATTTCCCCATGAGGATAAAATGTTCAAACGCCGATGACTTTACCTCACTTCTTACTGTGTCCCGGCAAATCTACCGCACAAGAGCCACAGCAGGCATGCGGTACCCTCTTGGCCAGCCTGCCCTGCGGATGAGCATCAGATGACAGCTGTGTTTTCTAACCTGAAATCAGCATTCGGGTTTAACCACAGCGTTGACACTTTGGGGCAAATACGTGGATTTTGGGTTGCAGTTTGGGTGCTGGGCTCTAACAGGTTTGCCATCACTGCCCTGAGACCTTAGTTCGACAAATTAAGTCACTAGAATTACAATTTGTAATCCAAACCTCATGCAAATGAGAACATTTTAACTTTTGTTTTTCTAGAGTGGAATAATAACAAAGCCATCTACCTTTAAAAAAATAATAGCAAGAGTTCTCGTCTATATTTTAGTTATAGTTTACCAGTCCTCTTAACATTCATAATTCACTTCCTTTTCACAAGCAAAAATTTATAGGGTCAATAGAGAAGACATTTTAATATGTTTCTTAATAAGATAAAAAATTAAATAAGGAAACAAAAGTTCAGAGCTTTAGATGTTTAAGGAATTTACTCAAGATCATGTACAGTGAGAGAAAGGCAGGGCTCAAGTCTGATTTTTATGACTATAATTCCCAGCGCCGTGTCCCTCCTATCTTACTGCCCATATATTGTCTTATTCTGGGAGGAAAAAAAAAATCAGATAACTGTGAGTGCACTTTGAAAAATTACAAAATCATATGCAAATGTGAAGTATCACAAGACCCTTTTTAACACTAGCTCTAAGTAACAAATGGCTTTGCAATGGCTCATTGCATGGAGTCGATCAATCTTCCCTGCAGCCCACTGAACCTTTCTCGGGTCTTGGGTGTCAACATCCATCTTCCAAACCTAGCCAACCTAGAATATGGCCACCAGTTACCATTTTAAACACGCGATGTCCTTCAGTTTACACTTGCAGATTTCAGTGAAATAGCATCTTCCAATGAAGTCCACCGCCCTGGAGAATGAAAAAGTTCAGTCAAATATACCTTAAAAAGTTGAACTGTGGCAAAATAACCCCACAAAATTTATCATCTTAATTTTTAAGTGCACTGCACAAAAGTGTTAAATATAGTCACACTGTCATGCAATGAATCATGCAATGAATTGCCAGACCTGCTTCATACTGCAAGACTGTATACTTAAGACGAAACCGCTCCCAGCTCCTGGCTGCCACCATTCTAAGATTTGTCCATGCCAGAACCCCATGTAAGTGGAGTCACATAGCATCTGTCCTTTTGTGACTGTTTTATGTTACTGAGCATACTATCCTTATGATTCATCCATCTTGTGGTGTATGATAGGGTTTTCTTCAAGCTGAATAATATGCCATTGTATGTATAACTATTTTGTTTAGTCACCCATCAGTTGAGTGGATGGACATTTGGATTATGTCTCTCTACGGGCTATTGTTAATAATGCTGCTGTGAGCATGAGTGTACAAATCAAATATCTTTTCAAGATCTTGCTTTGAATATATGTGTGTGTGTGTGTGTGTGTGTGTGTGTGTGTTCGTTCCTGGGGATTGAACCTAGGGCTTCTGTGCTTAGTTACATCCCCGGCTTTTTTATTTTGTGACACAGTCTCGTTAAGTTGCTAAATTGCCTTTGTTGGGCTTGAACTTGCAGTCTTCCTGCCTTCGCCTTCCAGAGGCTGTTACAGGTATGTACCACCCGCCTGGCCTGCTTTGAAATCTTTTAGACAGATACCTGGATGTGGAACTACTGATAACCATGTTGTTTTCCATAGGGGCTGTGCCATTTTACATTCCCACAGTATATAAGAGTTCTAATTTCTCTCTCCATATTCTTACCATAGAAAGTACTTTCGCCATTTAGTACAAATTTTGTAAATTTAAAGAGTGGAAAGAGACTGTAAAGTCAAATTACAGTATATTTTGCGCAAATCAGCTAATATTTATGAGCTCACTATACATACCTGGAAAATCTATTTTTAAAAATCTTATGTGTTCATTGATTCATGCATATCTCACTACATTGGTCTATCATTATTATAGGTCTGACAAAGAACAGTAGAAAAGACTTGATTGTATTCTAGGCTGTAGTTTTACCTATAAAAATTTACATATTTGAGTCCTACTTATGATTCCCCATTACTACAGCTATTATAGAAATGAATGGGTTACTATGCTAAATTTTTGTATGTGCTACTAAAAAGAAACAAAACAAAACACACACCAGACAATAAATCGTAGAATCAGTTGCTGGAAAGTTTCTGTGATTTACTGCCCAGTGCTTTTTTTCTTTTTGCAACAAATAGCTACATATGCACAAACTTAAATATTAACCCATTTGCCTCTGCAGTGAGCCTTTAGCTTTGCAGTTAGGCATGACTATACTTAAGCCAACTCACAGAATGTTTCAAGACAGGAACAATTCACAGGTTGACTTGAGCTTCATTTTAAATACAGGCTATCATAATTTCCTTTTAAGTCTGTACCTTGGAGGACTTGGGAAAATAGGTGCCCATTCATATTTTTGGTAATTATTTTCATTTTAATAATTAAAGTTCCAATAAAGAACAAACTCTTGGAAATCACATAGGGATTATGTGTTGATCATGGGAAAAACAAGTACCTTTAGAGCTACATAAAGGTTTATTTAAGTAAAATAAAACGGCTATCTTATCAAATAGGAAGCAAAATTTAAGGAGGTTACACTTAAAAGTGAGAAGTGACAGAAAACAGACTTTAAAAGGATTCAGTTATGCAAACTGATGTGCAGTACCCAAAATAGGCTTTACGGGGGATAAGGAATTATCTTAAGGCTAAGTATTTTTCATCCCATAAAGATCTATCTAGTTCTCTCTCAGTGTGGGGTTAGGAGGGGGTTGAGCAACAAATTTTAAATCACGGACCACGGAGCTGACTGAGCGAGCCATTTGCAAAGAATGGTAGAAAACTTTCGGTTTGGGTGTAAAACTTTGCGGAGAAGTACGAAAACCGTATGTGATTTGTCTACAAGAGTCCAGAAAAATCTTGCTTGAATTTATCTCGAGGCTAAGTCATGGGCTTGACTCGGTGGAACAGGACGGTCGGGCAGGGATCCAACGGAAGGGATGCGCGGCCACATGAGTATCATTGAACCAGAGGCATTACATCAGGACTGACCACTCGGGCTAAACCACAGACTGTGTCCAGACAGTCTGCCTGCCTACTTAGATCTACGCCGTGGGCATCAGCAGACACAGGGAGGGGCTGGGACGCCGGACCGCAACCTCTTCACTGACTCCCGAGATCCAAGCCACACACGCTCCCCATTTAGCCCGACTTACTTGGTAGGAGGGATGTCTGTCGAGAAAAGGTCTATATCAGTATCCGCCAGCAAGACGGCCTTCATCCCCCTGGAGCTGAGCACTTGCTTACAGAATTTGCAACACAGGATAGACACGCATCGGTCCTTGAAACTACAAGTGCTGGTAGTCATAGCGTCCCACGGAGGATGAGGTGCGGGATTTAAAAAAAAAACCAGACAAGAACAATATTCCTTCTACTTTAATTCCCCCTGGCGGCGGGGGGGGGGGCGAGGGCGGAGGCGAGGTAATCACGAGGTCTCTGGTTCTTCTCTAAGCGCTAAAACTGGGAAGGAAAAGAGTATTTTGCAGCTTTCCAGGTGGAGGGGTAAAAGAAGTATTTATTGAGTGGGAGCAGATGGGAAGCAGCAAAGTTGGCTTCTTTCTAGCTTTCGGAGCAGAGTGGAGTTGGGCCGGGCCGAGGGAGGGAGCAGGCGATGCTAGCCGAGGAAACTTCGCAGTCTGTCCGTCCGAAGGGTGCTCGCCCCTCAGCTCCCGGGTCTCCCCGACGCTCCTCTCCCGCGGGTGTCCCAGCTCCGGCCCCGGGCCCCGCACGGCGGTCTCTGCGCCGCGTCTCCCCTCGGCTGTCTCCCGCAGCGGCCGCTAGGAGCGAGCAAGCGGTGGTGGTGGGCAAGCGGTGGTGGTGGCGGCGCAGCGGGGCGGGGGTCTCCCTCTAGACCTAGTCCACGCAGGATCCGTTTTGGGCTCCTTCTTCCGCCTTCTCGGCCTTTACAACCCGCTGTCAGTTTGAATTGCCAGCGCCGCGCAGCGATTGGGAGCGGCGGCAGCCCACGTCGCGCAATGGAAGGCCGGCAGCTTCCAACTACACGAGCTCAGTGGCTTGGAGACCATACGCCCCGCCCCAGTAACGGTGCCGAGATCACATCGGCTTTCTGGTTGGTCGGGCGTGGCCCCGCCCCCTACCTCATTGGCCGGCCTCGGTAGGTTCGGGCAAACCCTTCCTCCTTTGCCAACACACTCCCTTCGCACTTGTTATTGGAGGATGTTCTACAGTCCCCGCCGCTCCCTACTCTCTATTGGCTAAAATTCCTTTCAATGCCCCGCCCCTATGCCCAAGTCCAATTGGTCGTGCTGTCTCTCAAGAGTTTGTGTTTGGCTGTTGCTTCACTTTAATCCCGCCCATCAGTTCTACTGTGGGATTAGACAGCCCGGGGAGGAGCTCAGTGTGGGGCCACGCCTCGGTAGTGAGCGCGGGACACACCTCCGAGTTTCGTCCGTTCCTCCCCTCATTCCTGGCTTCTCCGGATCAGCTATCCCTATTGGCTAGGAACCCCATCGGTCGATAGAGAGCGGGCGGTGATTGGCCAGGGGGTGGGTTCTGCTTCCCGGCGGGGTCCTGCGGAGTTGGCCGAGACTCCTCGGGGACTGGGGGGCCGAGCTGCGTAGAAGCGGGAGGCTGGGAAGAGAGGGGAGGAGAGCTCTGAGTGGGAAGCGGAGCCCGGGGCCCGGGGCCCGTCGCGTCAGAGCCAGGTAAAGGCTCCTTCCCTCTCCCCCTCCACCCCGAGCGCCAGGCTGGAGCCCTGACTGAAGAGCCCCCGGCCCTCTCCGTATCTCCCGACGCAGCCCGCCGTGCTTCT